ATTTTATCAATCTCAAAACATCTAATGTGTGACATTAATAAAGTATTATTAAGTAAGTTATGATTCATGGCTTGTTCCCTATGGGACTTGAACCAGCAAACTTCTGTTTTTGGCCTTTTATGGCCTTTCTTCTGTCCCTCAGCGCTCCTGCCAAAGCTGATTATCCCTCAGCGTGCTCCTGTGTTCATAAACTCTGCCCAGCACCTTTCTGCTTTCTCATTACCGCCCAACTGTGCTGAAGGACATCAGTCTCCATTGGCACATTGTTTTTGTTCTGCTCTAATCTCATCATTGCTCAAGAAATCAGTCCATTCAGATCCAGCTGATTTCTGGTAGAAGGTCTGATGGGGCATTGATGATAAAAGAAACTGATGATTTCCTCTCATTAATCATGAACAGAATAATCACAGGATTACGCATCAAGCAACTTTATTTGGAAACACACTTAAAATGACACGGTTCTGTTTCAACATCAACAGGAGCCTCTCTGTGGGACTCACACACATCGCATTCCTTACATAAATGCATTGTGTGAATAATTGCTTTCAGTTGGCGGGTGAGATGAGATAAGTGAACTATTGTGAACTAACCCCTTTATTTCTGACTCTTGATGAAAAGTGCTATCAGAGAGAGACAGAGGATAAAACCTGTGCAAGTGATCTAATCTTAAACATGTTTTGGAATGGCAAAAAAAGCTGTCATGGCAGAAGATAATGCCATTTCCTGATCTATAGACGCTGTTTCCCCGTTTGCCTAGATTAACTTTACAGCCATTTAGATCAGTTTGAATCACGTGTCTGATTACATTATAATGTCGCTTTGGATAAAAAACCCAAATGCATAATATCACATAAAAAAAATTTAAAAAAATCATTTAATGTGTTACTTGCTATTTCTTTGTAATTATTTGTGAAATTTACTAGCAATTTCTTTCTTTTTTTTTTTTTTGGTGAAGAATTTGGTACTTCAACATTAAGACTGATTTTAGGTTAGGTTATTCATATTTATGTACAAGACAAAGTATATTTCTTAGATCCTGTCACCATTTCATTCATTCATTCATTCATTCATTTTAAAAACATTTTAATTAATTTAATTAATCATTTTAATTTTTTTGTCATACAATAATTAATATGACATCATAAATTTGTACCTACTACTAAAAAAAAATGTTTTAGCCTACATAAATTATAGTATGTCACACCACAGGACACTGCAGAAAAAAATATCTATGCTAAATATGCTAAATGTATAAGTGTATTGTAAATGTGATTACTATTATTGTTTTTTAATAGAGAATTTTGAGTAAATTAATACGTAAAATGAGCACGCATTTAAGTGATTTTGGGGTTTTTTTGCACACCTGACTTCTTTTTAATGTGATATTTCATCATACACTGAAAAAAAAGGTGTACGATTTACTTTAAAACAATTTTCACTCAGAAATTGCTAGTAGATTTCACAAAAAAAAAATGAAAAGAAACGGCACTATAATTAACAGAATGAATTTAACGTGAAATGTAGAAAATGCCTACAATGTTAAAGCGGTAAAAAAAATAAAAAAAATGAATGAACGGTTAATGCTCATAATCTCATTTTCCGAAAGAATGAAATACACATGTATGAAAAATGAAATTCACTAAAACGATTTGCAAACAATTTTTGTAAGGTTCAAGATGGCCTCTCTGCAGGCTTTGCTGATGTTGGACTGAATCTAAGCTCCCACTTGCTACACAAACAAACAACATCTGTAAAACCAGCCGGTGTTTCAAACAAACAATTCCCGTCAGAACAGCACACTTGAAGCATCACTGCACCGACGCGCGACATGCTCTGATAGCGCACCTGGAAAACGACCAATCAGGTGAGAGGTCGCGGCGGCTCCTCGAGTAACCCCGAAGACCCAGGAGACCGCAGTCAATTCATAATTATCATAATTATCATGCTTGAGACATTATATAATTTAAACTGTCTATCTTCCTCTAAAACTGCATTTTAGTTGCGTCTACCCACATTTCCCATGTCACTGAAACTGTATATAAAGAATCCTTGCGGAATAAACTAAACAAAATCTACTTAAAACCACACAAAAAGTGAGAATGTTTAAATAAAATGCATTTTAAACGCACATACCCAAAAGTAACCAGCGCGTAAAAGCGCGCAGAGAACGAGCGCGTGTGATTGTGGAAGTGGCTGAGGATCTACTTACACTGCACGGGTGGATGAGAGGCAGAGGCAGCAGGGATAAAGGAATCATGACCACGAGAATGAGTTTCCGAGCCGTCCATATTTTTTTGATTAAGTCCATTCTGGCACCTTCCAGCCTCATGGGAGAACGCTTTGCTCAGTTCAGCTCTCAGAAGTCCAGGGTTCTTCAAAGTTTTCTTCAAGACGTTTTCTATACTCCCCTTTCAGCTTTTTTATAAATTATAACTGCAGTTGTGAAGTACTACTTGTCGTTTCCCTTTTCGTGCGTTTCACGCGCTGTGCGTCTCAGACAAGTTTGCATGGATTCTCTTTGGTTCCTGTTTGAATGTGCCTGCATGTGCCTGTAGTCCTTCTAGTCCATCCAGGAGTGATTGCAGACCCTCTTATACCTCTTTCAGGATGTATTGATGATAAGGACACCGATGGCTCTTTTGTGTCTCCACCTGTACATGTGTCTATCTCTGATTCGCCATGCTTTCTTATTTTTTACGCTGTAAAATGGCACCAATTGCGAATAAGCATGCATGAGCTGTCCTCTCAATGAATTTATTTTCCATGCGCGTTGTAAAAGCGTCTCCAAGGCTGAAGATGAAATGTATGAGTACGCCGTAAAGGTAATTTTACTTTAATCTAACCATATCTCCTCCCAGTTTAAAGCCGGACCAATCCGAGGTGAATGAGTGGAGTTTATGAATGGATGTGGGGTCGCGGGGTTGCGATGCTCACGAGCCAAATTGAACCGTTTACATGCAGCAGCGTCGGTTTCTCTGAATAAACCCAACAGGGAGCAGAGAACATGCTGTTGAGACTGTCAGAAAATAAACCTGCATTAACACGCGCACAAAAGCTCGCATTAAACCCATATGTCATGATTAGCACGCAGAATGTAGCGCACACTGCATGTAAGCAGGCTAGTGCATTACTGTATACGGTTCCAAGTCAATACCCACTCGTGCTTTATTAGGACTGTTTTCCACATTTTAGCATAATAGTACAATCAACAAAACTATGAAAAAATAAGGCAAATTTCAAGCATTTATGAAAATGCCTTACTATCAAAAGGTTTTAAAGACAATGTGAAATGTAAATTCAGTAAGCTGTGTCCAACTGTTATTCTAATAAAACTATATTATTTATTTATATGTAATTATTATATAATTTAAAATTTTATAATAAAATTCTGAATTATATATGTATACTAATTATATATATATACACGCTCAAAAGATCACATTAAACCCATAGCCTATATGTCATGATTACGCAGAATGTAACGCACATTTCATGTAAGCAGACGAGTGCATTGAGTGCTGTACTTACGCTATCAGTCAATACCTAATCATGGCTGTTTTCCACTTTTTAGCATAATAGTACAATCAAAAAATTCTGAACAAATGTTACGCAAATCTTCATGATGTGCGTCCTGACATGATTTTTAAACTGGAGTTCACATGTGTGCTGCTCCAACTGATCCATTGAAATAAAGAAAGAGAGAAAGTGAGAAAGAAAGAAAAAAGAAAGAAAGAAAGAACAGACATCCAGGTAGATATTAAGCATTTATGAAAATGCCTTTCTATCAAAAGGGTTTAAAGCCAATGTGAAATGTAAGGTGTGTCCAACTGTAATTATAATAAAATTATATGATTTATTTATAATATTTAATTATATAATTTAAAACGTTATAATAAAATTCTAAATGACATATGTATACTAATTATGTATATATTATAAATCCAGTAAGGTGTGTCCAATTTAAAACAAATCTAATAAAATTATGTTGCTAATTTATAATATTTAATTAATATATTATATATTATATTATTTATAATAGTTATGTATATTTAATTAGTATACATGTATAATTTATAAATTGTATTATAAAATTTTAATGTTATTGAATTTTTATTATAATAATTGTATTATAATATTTAAATTAAATTAATTTGATATATATATATATATAATTATAATACAATAAATTATGCGTAACATTTATTATTCATTTACAATCGTTCATTATAAATATAAATACTATAATAATTTATCCATTTTTCTTACCTTTTTTATATTATACTTAATAATCAGACAAATATCTACCAGTGTCTTCTGCCAGTTTTTAGTCTGTATCATTATTTATAATGCACCAATTAAAATTACATTAAATTAAACTCAACTGAATTACATCAGTCTGAATCTTCAATCAGTCCAATACGTTTTAAACTGACCATAATGTGCATAACACGCCACCTAGTGGAAAACAGAGCAATTACTGTAACTGAATTGGCATTTGTCAAGTATAATTAGTTTTAAAGACTGTACTGTGAAGGGCTGTCACAAGAAAATATCTGCAACGTAATGCAGCCAACAAGGAATAAAACCTCTATTTGCCGCTTTTCTGTCTTTGTAAATTCTTTCTGAGCGAGAAAACTTAATCTGAGGAAATGCTGTACTAAACCAAAGCTTTGTTTGGTCACAGTGGGGGACAGAGCTGTTTGTGTGCTTTTGTTTGATTGACTTCTATTCTCGAGTGTAATCACATTACATGTTCGGCATACGTCTACGCTTAAATCAATGGTCTGCTCTCCATACAGTCAGTAAACGGCGAATACAAGGTTGCATAACCTAATCAATGTTGCCTAAGTTACCTGTAAAGCTCTTTAGGGTTTTAGCAGGGGATGAATGTCAGTAATGCTTAAATCTTCAGTCAGGAGAGCCGCTGCTCTTGCATGAGGCTGTGAAAAGACCATGTTCTCCATGACACAATGCTGAAGATTAAGAGCTGTCCTCCTCTTGGACAGCGTTAAAAGGGTTTGATGGGGTGAGAGGAGCCATTAAGATCAGGTTTATATGGCATGATGTGGGCGAGGATCTCAAAGCATTACAGAGACTTAAAAGACGGGCCGAGGTGTTTGATTAATCAACGGAACAATCCGTTATTCATGCTGAAGAAGTCTAACGTTGAGAGAGCAATCTCAGAAAGGGTGTGGGACATTAGGACTGTTTGCTCAAATGAAATGAGAGTCTGATTGTTTCCCTCTCAGCAGTCACGGCGAGAGAAAGAGGAGTCTGTCACCAACATCACTGCACAGAGACGTCACTGTCAGCTCTCAACAAGATATTATTAGCTGCTGCAAGCGAGTGAGTGACATGTGCTGCACTAATAGTGCTTATAATCTTTAATATAATCAGTAACAGAAGGAATGAATGAATAAAGTAGATGAACTGACGCTCTTATAAGACTCAGTGTCGAAATGTGGCTCAGAATGAACTGCATTCACAATCAATCAATCAGTCAAACGACTTGAAATGACTTGCACAGTTTTTTGTTATTTCATAGTTTAAGGTTTACTTTACTATTCTTTTTATAAAAACGTGGAAAATATTGATGTATTAGGAAAAACATGATTCAACTGGAATTTTAGTTTGGAGGATTCAATTCACCACAATTATTTAGGACTAAAACTAACTAGTAAATATGCCACCACTTTAAAGCCACAGTCTTGTAATCACATGGGAGAGAGAGAGAGAGAGAGAGAGAGAGAGAGAGAGAGAGGGGAAGCAGAGCAGTGCATATGTTCATGAGGATGTGTGACTGCATAAACGACTGCAGCTCTGCCGTGTGTTGCATAACGCAAGCGGCTCATAATCAGCAGTGGAGCTGCAGCAGTGACAAGCAGCTTACGGAGGAGAAACACACAGCAGCGCTGCATGAGAGTCAGAGTAACTCCCTTCACCCCTCTCCCTCCCTCTCTCTCGTTCTGTCCCTGAGCGAACAGCCTGTGTTTGGCTGCTGAAGCACAGAAAAGTCTCAAGGACCAGCGGACATGAGCGACTGACATTCACACTTTCCATCTCATTTTTAACCCCAGACGTCGATGGCTTTGAAGGAGAGCCGCCTCACCTGGAGCTTCCTGCTGTGGTCTGTGACGTGGTGCTCGGCTCGGACTTTTACGCCACATGAAGGGTCTTCGGTCAGTCCCATATTTCATCGGACCACTCCACCTCTGAACAGCTCTGAGGCCCCTACGAACAATTTCACAGGTGTGTATAACAACAATATTCGGTCATAATGATATAATAACTGCATATCATCATATAGTGCTATGCAAAAATGATCAAATTATAGTGCATGTTTCTAAACAGCATGTTTTGCATAACTTTTTCATAAAGAGCGCACTCAACCTGCAGCATTTACAGTCCGCAAGCATACAAGTTTATTAAAACACATGCACTTATTGTGAAATTCACGTGTTAGCTTTAAAATGCAAAATCTTCTTAAGGGTTTACATACAAACAGAGCTTTCATAATGGCTCAGATAAAACCACCAGTGCGAATCAGATCAGCCTGAACTGCATATAACTCAGTTCATATAGCTCAGATTTTATTATGATTGGAGAACATGTAAAATATGCAAGCCATGCATACTTTGAGCGTACTTTGCTAATAGTTTATTGATGTTTCCTGACCTAAAGTCAATATGCATGACAGATTTGTGGATCTCTGACATTATCAAGCTAATACTTGAGTTTGATTGCAGTATAATGAATCTGTGATGCAAAAGACAGCATCCACAGGTGTCAGTTACCTTGAGGTTTATTGCACAGGTGAAACAAAGGATGCTTTTTGCCACGTGGCAATGGCGGGCAGTGGGATAGTTGGCAGTTTGTCAGTTCCGTTACAGGGTTGCCAGCTTTGAAACTGAAATGGAGGGGGTTTTATCGCCACCGTGGCCATGACAGAATTTGCCCTGCTTTCAGCTTTCAGTGCACGGCAAACCTGAAGGAGTTTGAAGTGGATCTGTCCTGGATAAGAACATGCACGGGTCAGATTTCATCCTAAAATCAAAAGAAAGGAATAAGAAATGATATTCTGCTTAAAGAAATGGAGATATATTTGGTTTAAAGAAGAAGGTTAAGGACATTAAGATTTTTGCACTGTGGCATTTTTTTCTATGATAGTTTATCACAATTAGCCCCAAAATTCTTATTGTCAATGCAAAAAAAGAGAAAAAAGAAAAAAATCTAATTACTGTAAAAAAAAATATATAAATTATTTAATTTGTCATTTTTATGCATGTTGTTTTTTCTTGTACTACCTTAAATTTAATTTAGAAAATAGTACTACATTTTTGTAATGCATTATAGTAAAATTATTGCATTACAGAATATACGTGCTCATGTGAAAAAATAAATAAATCATTATTACTAATAATATATTATGTAAATTGTATGTACTGTAAATTATTTATAAACCATGATAGTAATTCTTATGCCTTTAATTTATCTTATTTTAAATTAAAATAATAATAACAGTAATAATAATAATTGTATTTTTTACCACATTACAGTAATGGGAATTTAATAATCACTGTTATATAAAGAAACTAATTCCAAAAACATCCAAGCACATTACAGTAATAAGAATTTTTTGGGGAAAAAATTTAATTGCTACGATAATAATGCAGATAATCCATAATGCAGGGTTATTATAGTTAATTTAAGTTGATATACTAAAATAATTAAAACTAAAACTGAAGTAAATAAAAAATTATAAAAACTATATAAACATATTTTAAATCACAACAAAATCACTAAAACCTTAAACTAATACAATTAAAATGGAAACAATAAATCTAAAAATAAAATCTAATGCAAAATAAGAAAAACTATAATTGTTTTATAGAACAATTATAGTTTGTTCTATAAAACAAACTATATAGACGTTTGTTTCACTCTATGTCACTCATTTACCTATAACACAAATACAGAGGCTTCCACGTCACTTCTTTAAAGGGATTACTTAACTGACAGTGTTAAAGAGAGAAAGCCAGAGTACACAGGAATAGCTGGTGAGGTCAGCAGACGAGTTACAATAACACGTTAAAGATGCTGAAGTTACATGATCATGCATTGACAAACTGCTCCACTCAGACTGTCCCGCTGGAGAATGTCTGTGGTTTTATGGCAGTGTAGCTTCAGGAGCGTGTGGTCAGGCTGCATCATCCCGGCCTCCTCAGCTACAGGGACTTGTGGGTAATCAATTTTTAATGCACGGCCCTATGCTTTATTTAATCGTGTTCTATTCTAAGAGAAGCTCTCTGGTGCGACCCTTGGGGAGTATGTGAGATGGGACGGAGGGGAGAAAAAGAAACTGACAGTTGAGTTATTTATTTATTTTGCCATGGAGTCGGATTGCTTAATGCTAGCAGCATTGCCATGCCAGTTAAGCCGGCTTAATGAGACCAGCACAGGACTGGAGCTGGTGTGAACAATAAACACCATCCAGTGACCCTGCTAGCTTAATCACACTGACTCCAGCACAGTCAATATGAGCTCCATTTGACTGTATATTGACAGTGGAGATGGACAGTGCAGTGATGAAAACTCAGCAGGAGAACACAGAACACGCTGAATCCTCGGTGGGAATGAAGAGAGACTGGAGGAGAGGTGGATTATGGGATAGAGCGCATAAAAGTATCCTGTGGGTACTTATGGAAAGAGAGAAGGGAAAATGCTTTCATCTTAACCCTTGAGGATAGCTAAGTACTGTTAAATAAGTCCCAGGAAAACTTTCTTGCACACATACATTCACAGAAACACTTAAAGCTGTCATTTTGATGGAAAACATAAGTGTTGGTATTGTGATTACTGACATTTATTATTTATACTTATTTATTATTATTTTTATTTATTTCTTACACTGAGTGGTTGCTAGGTGTCTTTTCATTTCTGCATTTATCATTCGCCTAGCAAAAATTACAAGTCCAAAAAATGTAGTCCAATCATGAAAAAGTGATAGCAACAAGCTGCATTCTATTCTATTCTATTCTATTCTGTTCTGTTCTGTTTTTAGTCCAATTATGAAAAAGTGATAGCAACAAATTTTATTCTATGAAAATGTGATAGTAACAAGTTGCAATCTATTCTATTCTATTTAGTCCAATCGTGAAAAAGTAATAGCAACAAGCTGCATTCTATTCTATTCTGTTCTATTCTATTCTGTGTTTGATTTAGTCCAATTATGAAAAAGTGATAGCAACAAATTTTATTCTATGAAAATGTGATAGTAACAAGTTGCAATCTATTCTATTCTATTTAGTCCAATCGTGAAAAAGTGATAGCAACAAGCTGCATTCTATTCTATTCTATTCTATTCTATTCTGTTCTGCTCTGCTTTGCTCTGTTCTGTTCTATTCTATTTAGTCCAATCATGAAAAAGTAATAGCAACAAGCTGCATTCTATTCTATTCTATTCTGTTTGATTTAGTCCAATTATAAAAAAGTGATAGCAACAAGTCCAATCGTGAAAAAGTAATAGCAACAAGCTGCATTCTATTCTATTCTGTTCTATTCTATTCTGTGTTTGATTTAGTCCAATTATGAAAAAGTGATAGCAACAAATTTTATTCTATGAAAATGTGATAGTAACAAGTTGCAATCTATTCTATTCTATTTAGTCCAATCGTGAAAAAGTAATAGCAACAAGCTGCATTCTGTTCTATTCTGTTCTATTCTATTGTGTTTGATTTAGTCCAATTATAAAAAAGTGATAGCAACAAGTTCTATTCTATGAAAATGTGATAGTAACAAGTTGCAATCTATTCTATTCTATTCTATTCTGTTCTATTCTATTGTGTTTGATTTAGTCCAATTATAAAAAAGTGATAGCAACAAGTTCTATTCTATGAAAATGTGATAGTAACAAGTTGCAATCTATTCTATTCTATTCTGTTCTATTCTATTGTGTTTGATTTAGTCCAATTATAAAAAAGTGATAGCAACAAGTTCTATTCTATGAAAATGTGATAGTAACAAGTTGCAATCTATTCTATTTTATTCTATTCAGTCCAGTCATGAAAAAGTGATAGCAACAAGTTTCCTTCTATGAATAAGTGATAGTAAGAAGTTGCATTCTGTTCTACTCCATTCTGTTATGTGTCTGATTTAGTCCAATCATGGCAAAAGTGGTATCAACAAGTTGAATTCTATATATTCTATTCTATTGTGTTTGATTTAGTCCAATCATGAACAAATGATAGCATCAACTGGCATTCTATTCTATTCTATTCTATTCTATTCTATTCTATTCTCTGATTGATTTAAGTGTATATTTAAAAGTGGCACATTTAAAAGTGGTTTCTAACCATCTGTGCTTTGTATTTGCAGGCCTGAGCTGCACGACGCTGCTTCCCCCTCGGCGAGGTTCTTTCTATGTAGAGAGGGGCACTGGGATGACTGTGGGCACGGTGTTGGTGTTCTGGTGCCTCGAGGGGTACCAGCTGGTGGGCAGCGAGGAGATCACCTGTGTCCTACGTAGCGACACCGCTCAATGGAGCAACTACCCACCCGACTGTGAGGGTCTGTGTTCACTGCCATCATTTCTGTTTTAAGAGATAAAAACACCTAAGAAATGCACTCCTGCTAATTAAATCCCAGATTTTCAATGTGGACTATTGTGTAAATATGGTAGCCATTCCCAAACCAGAGGACCGCGGGCTGAGAGTGGCTGTACTGGCATCAGTAGTGAGCAGCATCATCATCCTCGCCATGTCCGTGTCCTTCGTCATCTGCTGCCTGCAGGAGCGCATGAGCAAAGAGAGGGCAGAACGGACAGACGGACGGGGCAGGTATGCACATCTGGGGAGGAAGAGACAAGGGAGTTTAAAATAGGCAAAGAGGATGCTAATGATTTCTCTGAGTTTCCAGGACGAGAGACAAGTGCAAATCATCCTGGAGGAATGAGTGCTGGCTGGAGAGAGATGAAGGAGACTGGGAAGCTTTTCATCCACCTAAAATTTACAGTCTTTCCCAGCACCTTGACCCTCATCTGACCCCTGAGAGCCCGGTCTATATGGGGGGACTGGCTAGTTATGATAACCATGGGTATCAGAGGTGAGAAACTGTGCAGTTTTAATTTTGCTTGATTGTGTTTACATGTGAAATTAATCGATTAAATCACACAAAAATAAAAATTCTGGCACTATTTAAGAGGAAATTAAGTTTTCTATTGTATCCTCTTTTAAACTGACTTTCTCTGAACTCTAAGTTTATAATTGTTTTTTTTTTTGCTTCCGCCACAAAATAAAAAATGTAAAAGGTCATTTTTATCCCATAATTCTGACTTTTTTTCTTGCAGTTGCAAGTTTGTCGCAATTCTGACTTTTCTTTGTATCTTTAAATATAAATACTATATATAAATTTATATCTTGCAATTCTGCATTTGTATCTCACAATTCTGAGTTTAAATCTTACAATTCAGCATTTATATCTAGCAATTCTGCATTTTTCACAATTCTGCATTTATATCTTACAATTCTGCTTTATTTATATCTTGCGATTCTGAGTTTATATCTCACAGTTCTGTATTTATACCTTGCAGTTTACAATCTTCCATAGTAAACAGTAGTGCAGCTTAATATTTTTGTGGAAACTGTTATGCATTTTTTTTTCAGGATTCTTTGCTGAATGTTCAAAAAAACAGCATTTATTTTAAATAGAAATCTTTTGTAATATTACTAATGTCTTTACTGTCACTTTTGATCAATTTAATGTACCCATGCTCAATAAAAACATACATTTCTTTTTTTAAAATGCTATGTTTGTTTTGCAGAAGTCAGGAAAACCTCCTGAAAGCTCCCCTTCCTGGTCTTTACCGTACAGAAAGTCAGATGTACCCGCATGTGGTCCTGCAGAGGGTTCCCACACCCACAGTGCCGACTGCACCCAGCGCGCCCGTCTACCTCTGCCTCTCCACCCCTCCGCCCGCAGAAAGCCCCGGCGAACAGTCTGCTCTGCCGCCGTACCCCAGCGCCACTCCACAGCGTCTGTGGCCATAGAAACACACTTTTATTCAGAACTTTTACAACTGTTGCCATGGCGACAGATTACGGCCCCTACATGCAAACAGCTCCTGGGGTTCAGAAAACCAAGAGAAATGATGGACTCAAGTTAGAGCCACCTAGATCACTACACACCGCTAGATCTAGATGTTGGACCATGTGTGGGTTCAAATGTAGTTACATTTAGTACGTTGCATATGTAAGGACATTTCTGAATGACTCTAAGGAGGCCCGTTGTGTAGTTTCTTGGAGAGGAAAGTTACATTAGGAGAGGTGAGGACTCCATACTGGTACTGTGATCCACTCCAGGTTTTATTATTGTCAGTTAGTACTTTTTATTTTTGTGGTAAAGGTTCTGACTTGCACTCATAAAATGAAAAAATGCAACCGTGTCATGTCACATTAGAGCATCGGTTTAATATTTCTATGTTTTTTGTATTATAGAAGTGTAGGAGAATTACACTGACATCCAGATTATGGACAGACATTGGGATCTCATAAACCTATGATACTTCAAACTTGATTTTGTTTATAACAAATAAAAAGATTAAAATATATGTACATGTGTATTTTTTATTGCCCACAATGTCTCACCATATCATACACACGCACAATTATTTGAAAAAAAAAAAAAGTATATATATGGTTTCACAGATAAGTCCTACTCACATGAAAATGTTTAATCTTAGGATCTGACTTTCTGGGTCCAGTCAAACTGACCTACTTGAGTTTGAGATTTCTAATTAGCTGACCTAATCAGCTGAGCTTTGGCATGTTCACAGTGTTTTATCTGTCTATTGCAGCATATGTAGGAAACAATGCTGTGAAGGAAAACAGAGGATGATGAAAACAAGATGATGGATTGGCAGCAGTAAATTTAGCGGTGATTGAACGACTGGGTTTTACAGATATTTTGTTGCAATGAACAGTAGATTGCCTTTTATTATTTACAGTACATTATATATATTTATGTAATAAAATTGTTCTGTTTAAAATGACTGTTGTTAGGCTATAGACTCCATATGAGGGCAGTGGTGTTTTTACACATTAGATTATGCATGAGAATGCCGTAATGATGAGAGGCATAATGTCTAACAGTTTAGTTAACAGCCCCCAGATTAACTAGCACTACTTCAATAAGAAATGGAAGCATCTTCTCAAGTAAACCGACTCGTCTTTACGTCCACAAGGTAGCGCGATGGTTCCGCGATCATTTCAGCATGCATTTCACTCATAAAACACACATCTCTTACACTAAACCAATCTTTCCTCAAATTAAAATAAAATAATACACATTATATTTTTCTACATTATTATACAGTATATATTAGGGCTAAAAGGAACAGATCAACCAAAAATATTCTTGTCTGATTTACTCACCTTTTTTACAACCCGTATGATTTCCCCCCTGAAACACAAAAGCAGACGTTTAGCAGAATGCTCTTTTTAATGAAAGTGGAAGGTCACTACACTTTCCCAAAAAAAAAAAAAAATCCAAGCACCAAACACCAAAATAAATTACTCCATACGACTTTCACGCTATATTACATGTCGATTATAACTCATTTTGTCCATTTCATCAGCTATAACGTTTGATATTCATTTGTTTTTTACATTTATAGCATATCTTTTGTTATTGTTGCATGCTGTATACCTCTCATAACAAAGAGCCAAGCCATGCTGCACTATTTATAAGGGCGGCTGCGCATGCGCAACGAGAGCGCCGCTCCTCTCCAACTGACATGAGTTAAATACTCACAGAGAGCGAGAATACACCTTGCAGCCGAGCGACACAGCAGGGAATCAGTGAATGTAGAAATGACTTCTGCGTGGTGTTTAATATGACAGCACGCGCGGGATATGGGAAGAAGTATGGTGTGTGTGGTGTTGAAGGTGACATTCCCATGGCCAGAACCAGCGCGGACGGGCTGCTCCGTCAGAACAACAGCAAACTGGACTCTTTCCTCAAAAGAAACACCAGTCGGGATGTGTACGAGCGGATCCGGGTCTACGAGCCGTGTGTGGTGGTCTCGGGGTCGGTGAAGAAGGTTTTCATGCATGTGATCCTGAGCGATGAGCGCGTGTATCTGAGCGAGTATCACCCGCGCGCGCTGCGAGAGGCGCTCAGCTTCAGACGCATCAAGAGCATCGAGCTGGTGAGAGAGAGAGCAACATATAAACACAAACCTGAATGTTGCTGATATAGAGTACTTTATTATCACATGCACAAGTATTAGTGATTACAAGAGGAGTACAATTGATTAACCCAACTAACAAGAACGTTTTGCGAACGTTCCCGTTAAGTTATGAAAAGGTTATTTCTGAATGTTCTCTGAACGTTGTTTTTTTAAAGTTCTTGGTTGGAGAAAACTTTATGGCAACATTCCATTTGATCATTTTGCAAACTAAACTGATGTATATATGATATATAAATTATGTTTTTTGTCCTAACATTTTGAGAGCGTTATTAAAAAAATTCAGGAAACTGAACAAATGTTCTATTAACGTTGAGAGAACCTGTCCAGAAAATTAACCAAAGTTGCGAGAACGTTCCCTGTTAGCTGGGAATGCATTTACTGAAACAACACAAGAGAACAATATAGTAATCACAATATAGTATAATATAGTAAAATAACAGTACAATGCAGTTCAATATGCACATTAACAGAAACAACATATAAACATATTTTGCATATTTGCTCAATAAAAAAATTAATTTGTGATATTTTGCTGACTTTGCATAAATTCTTTATTGCAAAATGAATTGTCATAATTTAACTTGGCCATACTCTTCTGAACAGGATTCAAACACTCCTGGAAATAACACGGAATGTGATAACTAGATCTAGGAAAGTCATGGAAATTTAAAAAATAAATAAATGAAATTAAAAATGTATATTTGTGTAGTTACAGTATGCTCATTTCTAAAACTTTATTATTATATATATATATTTTTTTTTGTAAGAATTACTCTGAGAGCGATCTCCTTCTTCAGTCATCACAAATTATTGGAAAAGTCATGAAAAATCATAGAAATTAATCATCCAAAAATGCGGATGCAGACTTCACACACTTATTGTTGTATGTTTATTAATTTTCCCATCCCCTCACTGAATTGCTTGAATAATTATGTAAATAAATTAACTAATAATCATGTATTATTTATTTACTGATCATTTTTAAATTATACATACATCACTCGCCGTGTCAATGTGTTCTAAATGTAAAATAAAGCACGACTGTCTGCTAAGACAATGCTAATTATAGTGAGGACGTTTGCTTATCCTGTCATGTTAAACTGCTTGAAGAAGGTGTGTTTGGTAAGCTCATGTTCGTACAGCTCAAAGCATGAGTCATGGAACGGTTCAGCACTGAAAGACTGGAAAAGACAGACGGATGAAAAATGTAGCCTAAATGTCACAATAGCAGAATTACCAAGAAAACGCAGTTTATCTGTTATTAACATAGGTGCAAATGCATTTTCCTCAGAAATACACCACGCATATTCTATATATAAATATGAATGATTCTGATTGATTATTGATGATCAGACGTTATTAAACGGTCATTCATCCCCACATCAAGCGGCTTACACTGATGTAATTAGGTTAATGTTAGACTGTGAGCATACAAATCTCTGTCTTTCCTCACAGATCAATGATTTGCCTGATTTCCTCAGCGGACAGGATCGTGAACGCTCACTGCATATCCGCGTTGTTCATACCACAAAGAATCCTGGGAAAAAGAGCTCAAGACCCAAAGGATCCGGTCAGAATAAGCCATCATTTCCAGGACGCAACTCGAGTGCCCGTCATTCACTGGAGGGTAAAAAAGCTATTTAATTCAATCACAAGTTCACAAGCTGTTCTTGACTAGTATTAGAGGGCCAGAACTGAGTGCATTTTTCCCTGGACAGTGTGATGTAAAGCAGGTATGTGTGTTAATCCATGAGCTCTTCCAGCTGTGGGGATGAAGCAGCAGTACTGACACCCGTCTAACCCACATTGACATGCATATGTGTTCATCTTCACACTTCTGTAGATTTAGTGAACGGCAGTGCAGGAAAGCTGCTTAACCAGTGCCGGATAAACAGCTGAACCAGGTTATCTGTGTATCATCATTTGAGTTCATCTGTGAATGGAGAGGATTCACTCATTGACAAGTTTGCTCTATTACTGTAGCCGGTCAATTACAGATATATCTATATAAATTGCAGTTATGGACTGAAAAAAAAAATGAATGTGTCAATGCTGTTTTAAAATGAAGGTTAGATTGAAACACCATTATGATTTTTTTAAGTAGATTTAGATTTCCTGAGCAACACCAAGGTCATGGGTTCGACTCCCACAAAAAGCAACAACGGATAACATGTAAATGTGCAGAATAAATGCATCCACCAAATGCATAAATGTCGATGTAGATAATTTCATGAAGACTTCAGTTTATCATCTCAAATAAACCTGAACTTGTGTTTTATGATCCTGCAGGCATGAGTCCAGAGTCCTCGAGCTGGAGAATCTCTCCCACATCAATGAGGTAAAGCCCTCTCAGTGTTAACGGCCTCACGTTCACCCAACACAACCGCTGTGAGCCATTCAAAGTGCTTTATCTCCACCTCGCAGCTTTTTACTGCCTCTGACTCCACAATGCTCAGAACGAACAGACTCGGTTTTGAAGACTCGTTTGCTTAGCAACTCAAGCTATTAAACAAAGCAGTGCAATAATAAATGCAGAGATATTCTGAATCCCACAGCTCTGTATCTCACGGGACGAGTGTGTGTTGTGCTACGTTGCTTAGAAACTAAATTGATTAAGTTCTTGTCTGTGTTATAAGATATCAATAACGATGGTGGGCGATACATAATATATTCAAAGGTCATCAAGCTGAATTGTTTAACATGCATTGGCATCATAAAACATGTGTCTTGGAGTTTTATCCAGTGACATGCAAAAGAAAGCATTCATCTAACCGATCAGAAAGTCAACTTTTAGTGACTTTTTATATTTTATTGCACTAGTTTAGAGTGGTAAGAAATTAAGAAGAAAATGATATAAAATGTAAAATATGTTTACTATTTATGCTTTTTCATTTAGTTTGCATTTATTTTATGAAAATCCTATTTTCAGTAACTTTATAATTGTCATTTGCAAAAAGCATGTTGCTCTCTGAAATGCTGCAACGCGAGCGTCTGAAGAAGAAATGAGGAGTGGAGAGAGGTCGCGTTACATATGCATGTTTAATGAACGCAGATAAAAGAAAGACGGATCTTGTAAACTGGAAACCACTCGCAGTTTATTAAGTGTTGTGTATGTGGTTTCACGCTGATTTTCAGGTCATATAATTACTATATAATTTTTGCTGTTTTTGTGCTAATAACACTTTTTGTATTCATTAGTGTTATTTTAAGGGTTATTATAATTTACTTAAAACTAAAACCATAAAAACCCTTGTCACTTCTAAAATAAATTCAATTTTAACTGAAAAATAAATTAAAATGTATATATATATATATATATATAAAGCTTTTTATTTTATTTTCAACATTTCTCATTTTCAAGTTGATGTACAACAAGAAC